TGTAGAACTCCGAGGAGTTCACAGTCCGTCATAGTAGCGTAAGAGGAGAGCTTCCAGTAATTGGAATGGATCTCTACACCCTTACGATATACCACCATACCAGCACCAGACTTCTGGTCTGTGACCACGGAACCACGCTGTGACGTTCATCACTGAGGTCACGCATATGCCCTCCCCAGGTCCTTTTTGCAGCCGAATCCGTGCGGGCCGATCCGGCTGTAGATGAGAGACAGAACTGAGTCCGTTCAACTGACACAGGTATTCTGGTGACGCCATCTGGAACCCAATTGAGAGACGCATGTTGCATATCTGTTTATGGAGATCCAGCTCAAACAGATCTTCCACTGATGGACATCAAAAGGCCCATCTTAGGTTGTGCTGAGTCTTAGCTGCTTCCCCCATAGTATGGGGCCCAAAGTACCTCGTTATCGGTATGAGGCCCATACCGATACCGAGGTACTTTCGGAACGCATCCCGGGCTAGGGGTGCATGGACAACAATTTTCCATGGTGACTATGCTCATAGGTAGCTTCAGAAACTGCCGGCCTCCGTCCGGGTGCAGCTCCCGATAATTCAGCGACGTTATCCGAAGCATGTTCGCCCTACATTTCACTTGCTGTGCGCACAACAGTTTTCATCAATTGACGATACAGGACGGTTCATATGGTTTTGCAACTGTTCATATAATATGAACAGTGTTGATGGACAATGTGCATTGAAGAACTCCTCAAAGGAGCCTCCTCCGCTGTGCTCAAGACGAGACGAATCCACCGTCAAGCCCAAGGATTGCAAGACGCCTTTCGATGGTGTTTAGTCCACTGTCTTCTAACTCTAACTGTTAGAGTCGCGCCAGAAACCGAGTTAACAACAAAATAGTAAACGTGGATCGTTTCGCTCCGCTAATATTGTACATGCGTGCTTCCACGTTCATCTCGACGAGTGTTCGATGAGAACGAACACTGTACATTGTGGTTTGTGTCGCAGGAGATGTACCCAGCATTCAGTCTGGTAGAATACTAGGGATGACCAGTGGTATAATATATGTTCGGTTTCGTCAGCTCAGCTCGGCAGTTCCCTCACTACATTATTAGATGCACAGTGTGCATTTCCACTCGTTTGTCGCACGACTCAAGGTAGAAGTGTAGGAAAACCATGCAGAATGTCCCCACAATTTCTCTAAGTTTAATTATCGTCAGCAACGCTTGTAGATGACCTCGTGTACGCCTGAGCCCCGCATATCTTGTGGCTCAGTGATTAAGATACAAAATAGGTCAGCTTTTGTACATTTTGGAGACACTGCGCCTTCTGCAACTCTTCTGTTCACGTAGATGCCCCCATTCTCAATTGCCTTCCAGTTCACTTATTGTACTCGGGCATTCGCCTCGGCTGTATATTTTCATCATCTTCATTATGGTGTCGGCGAGACGAATGTATGTATGTGTAGTTGAAGGGTGTCGTAAGTATCGCCAAGGAGGCACTGAATTTTGTATCTCCCACGGTGGCGGTCGACGCTGTGCTCATACAGGCTGTGGCAAGTCAGTATATGGCAGTTCTAAGTCAGTGTAAGTAGAAGGTCCTCTTCATCATTGTGTTGATATGATTCAAAATAGGTTCTGTAGTGCTCACGGTGGAGGTCCGCGATGTTCGTTCCCTGGCTGTGATAAGGGTAGCCGCAGTAAAAAGTCAGGATTTTGTCACAAGTCAGTTGAACTATCTCTGTTGTTTACTCTGTATCTATACTTCAGGCATGGAGGTGGTCGTCGTTCCAAAGACCGTACTCTTACTGCGAACCAGGCCGAACAGTAAGGCCCCGGACGGTTCTTATGGTCAACTATGGCATTGTCTCAGGCCAAGCGTCGATCTATGTAGCGGGAGTATGCTCGAACAAGTCCTAGAGCACAGTTCTCATGATGGGACTCCTCGCCGTCCGCTTACAATCAACATGTCAGCGGACGAGGCTTCCACTGTGGCTTCTGCTAGTCTCACTACTACTGTGCCTAGTGACTTCACTGGAGGGTTCTGGCAAACCGCTAGTACGGACCGTATAGGTATGTAACATTTGCGCTGTTTTATCATCGTTACTTGTGGCGCGTTTGATCAGATACTCCGACTTGTGCTTTCGCACGATCGTCTACATTACATGAGTCAATGACGAATGATGGTGGTTGTGGTCATTGGTTCGGTCCTGAAGACAACACTTTTCTGTCTTATACTGAGCAGTCGTCTCGAATTCTTGCCCACTCATTTTATCAAGTTGGTATGAGCGTGTTGGACGGTATATGACTTGCCTACTTCTTGAGACAGCTCGAAAGGTCTTCAAAGTTCGGCCGAAGTTATAGTAGTCCGCAGTATTCATATTTCAGGTTGGCATCGTATTTATTATTACTTATACTATTTTTTATCAGTCTCGGTCAGTCGTTTGAAGAAGCGATAATGGAGGTGGTTCGAATTCTTGAGGTGGTCATTGGGCCAGCCTTAATTGCCCAGGAATAATTCCTTATCCGAAGCGGGAATCACCGGCAGCATTATTTTTGTTGCATATTCGGCGGTTTCTCAGAGGAAGGTAGCGTACGAGGTAGCTCTGTATTATTATTATATTTTCTCTCGTATCTTTGCCTATACGTCATTAGATGATGATTTCTTACTCCACGGTTGATCTGTGGCCCTTCAAGGCTTTTTTCGTCCAATTATATCACTTGTTTTGTTCGGTGTGATAAACAGAGACAGAAAACAACTCATGGACGTGTACTACTCATGACCGACACTAGTTGGAACCTTTTTCGTACACTCATACGTAATAAGTCGTATCAAGCAATCTGTCAATACTGTCTGATCTGAAAAACTCGGACTGAGCTCTTTGCTTTATGTGGTCGTCTGCTGTGAGACTCACAGTGTGAGTTTGTGAGGCTTTCACGAAGCATGACACTTAGTCTCTGTTCATACGTGCACTCGCATCCTTCCCCTCGTACTCCACAAGTCAACAACTCAGCCAATTAGAAACGTATCAGTCATCAGCAGCTGTTTTATCAGAGCATTTCGTCTCTGTCAAAACTCGACCGTTAGCATCCCTGAACACAATCATATCCCTCTCGCTGTCATAATCGGCAATTAGCTCCTCTCCTCGGTGTATCTCTTCTCGTAATATCTGACACCAAGTTCGATACGATTCGTGAAGGCCAACGCATAAGCCCTTCGGCCGAACACGTCCGTTCGTGTTCCTCTACGAGAACTTACCAACTCAGCGATGGGGTCCTCAATTCTAGCTTGCATAACACGGTTGAGATGCCTAGCACCAAACTCGGCACTGTAGCCCTCTTTACCAAGTGCTGCTGTCAACCTACGAGACGAAGCCGACTGGCTAGAAGCTAACTGATATCCACTGCTTACCCGTCCGTAACCTCAAGGTCGATGCTATGCTGCTCCTTGAGAGCAGCTTGTAGACGGCTGACATACAGCCCTACAATCCTGACGATGTCCTCCTCGGTCAAACTGTCAAATGCAATGACCTGAAGGCGGCATCCATCGCAAATGCTAATGCAAGGGAGAATATTCACCTCGTCTATTCTGTTGATGAACTCTGGGCGGAAATGACGTTTGAGATCCTCCATGCTGCTACCAACGTTAGAGGTCATGACCAAGATAGCATTCGAGAAGTCAGCGAGTCGACCATGGCTATCAGTAAGGCGACCATCGTCCATCACCTACGATTTAATACAAATGGCAATCCCAATGTCAAGACTCACTTGTAATAGGATATTGAGAACGTCAGGATGGGCCTTCTCCACTTCGTCAATCAACACTAGACTATGTGGCTGTCTACGGACTCGGTCCGTGAGTACTCCTCCAGAGTTGGAGTCATAGCCGACATACCCCGGAGGCGAGCCTATCAGCTTGGACACGCTGTGACGCTCCATAAACTCGGACATGTCCAGGCGTATCTAACCAGCTCGTATGCGAGGAAGCCATCCGAGGGCACCCACCATGTTCCGGCCCTCCTCGCCGAAGTATTCATCGGACAAGGCTTTGCTGAGCTCAGTCTTGCCAACCCCCGTAGGTCCACAGAACAGGAAGCATGCTGTTGGCCGCTTGTTCCCAATACCTGGCATACAACACTCCGACGGGTTGAGGGACGTGCTCCCACCTCTAACGCCAACCCGGGCTCGTCGAATCGCCCTGGCCACCGCACTGGTGGCCCTCTTCTGTCCTATCACTCGACTGTCGAGCCGCTCCTCCATATGGAGCAGTCTAGCAGACTCATCCTTGGTCAGCTGAGGACAGATACTCTCAAACACCCCTGAGATGGGGACCAACCTCCTCGAGGGGAATCCCAGTCCACTGAGCTACAGTCTGGGCGACATCGTTTGCGTTCACTTCAATACGACTGCTTGGCCGCTGATAAAGGTAATACATCAACAAGGCTCACACAGAGAAAGGCCCTACCGCTCCTTGCTGAATTCTCTTCCGAGCTGCTGCCTCATCCATAGCGTCAAACGCCGAGTCTGGTAGTCGCCGACTGGGAATGTAGCGAGACGATAGTTTCACGCATGCCTCTATAGCATCATCAGTGAACCTGGCCAGCTTAGCATCAAAGGCCCGACCGTAACCGTCCCTACAGTCAGCTCACCTGACGAAGTGATGCTCTTCATAGAGACTAGCTACTCCCATGAGCATGTCCACTGCCTGAGCTTGTGTAGGCTCGGGCACCACTACTGGTTGGAACCGTCGTTCTAGTGCTGGGTCCTTCGCAATGTACTACAAAGGGGATGATTTCGTGGCGCAGTGACGGTTGAACTTCACCTTATCATACTCCGACTGTGTAGTAGCCCCAATGACTCGGAGCTCCCCCCGGCTGAGGGCAGGCTTGAGGATATTAGCCGCATCGATCGCACCATCTCCTGTCGCCCCCGCGCCGACTATCGTATGCAGCTCATCGATAAGCAGAATGATCTAACATGAGAGACAGACAGGTCGAAGACAAGACCCCGAAGGGCAGAGAGGGTCACCTTCCCATCAGCATCAGTGGCCTCCTTAACAAGTCTTTTGAGCCGTTCTTCGAACTCCCCTCGGTATTTGGTACCGGCCAGCAGACTGCCGATGGACACGTCCCAGATAGCTACACCGGCCAGATGGTTCGGGACTTCTCCCCTCGCGATGAGCTACACACGAAGATGTGTCAACATTACATAACGCCGAGACTCACCTCAGCCATGCCCTCTGCTACGGCCGTTTTGCCCACGCCTGGTTCGCCCAGCAGGACCGGGTTGTTCTTGGTCATTCGACTCAGTACTTGTATCATGCGCCCGATCTCAGCGTCACGTCCAACACACTTCAAGAGTTTCCCTTCTCTCGCCAGCGCCGTCAAGTTCCGTCCACACGATTCCAAAACACTGCCGCCAGAGGTCCCCGGTACGAATCCCCCCACCGGTATTTTTTCAGCGTCCTCTTCTCCCCACTCCTGCAGACGTTGAAGAACACTCTGTAGTCTTCCCATCAGCTCTGGCTCCATACCAGCCGGCCTGGCCAGCATCTTGCCTATCACCCCCTCGAGAAGGGCCTCCGTTGTGATCGGCCCCTGGGCCGTATCGACGCTGCCTCGAATCACCTCGACGACCTCGTCGTCTAGTGGAACCCTTTCAACCGCTCCCCAACTGACAAGATCGGGCGCCGCTTGCAATGGGGCCAAATGCTTCAACTCAGCGATCTGGACTCCTGCTTCCCGCAGCAGTTTGCTAGCGCCACCGCTCCGCTCTGATGCCAGACCAATAAGAAGGCCCTCGAGGGGTACTGTGGCTAGGTTCATGGACTCCTCCTGAGCCCGATGGATGGCTCGGGCAGAGGAATCGGACAAGGCGTCGAATGCGGTCCTTCCCACTTGACGTCGAGCCGCATCACCTACTAGAAGACTGTCTCTACTGGAGGGGTCCATGAACATACCTCTGTTGGGATCGAACATCATGTTGTTCCACCAACTTGCTAAGGATCCTCGAGCCACTGACCGACCACCTTCAGTGGAGGCGCTGAAGCACACGGCTGTCACCACTGCATACCACTCCAGCCTCAACTTACCTCTTGGGCCTATGACGAGACATGCTCAGCGCCAGGGAAAGCACTGTTACAGCGACAGCAGCAGCACCGAATACATATGGCAGTGTTGACCTCTCCCATGCCCTCGGCCGACTCCCACCAGACAGGGACCCCACAGCTAAGTTACCCACAACCGAACCGCCCCGGAGACTAGCCGGCCTGGCCCCTTGTCGTAGTGCTGGTGTGATAAATAAGGTCGAGCCGCACACATAAGCAGTGGCTAGACATACACCACATAGGAGCAGAGTCGAAATAGAACGTCTTGATCGCCGATCCGCAGCAGCCCGTTGTCGCATCCAATAGAGTAGAAGTGACAACTCTGGATCAGGCAGCAGATAGGCCCCTCGGGGCAGTTGGTCTTCAGTACCCATTTCCCGCCAACTGAATCAACGCAAGTTCCCCTATACTTTCAACACAGTGTATTTTTAGCAAGTGTTTATCAAAGTTATGTTCAAGTAAACAGGTAACCACAAACGGTTCATCAAAAGTAGTGTATCAACTCCAATATTGGATAAAACATTGCCATCATCATTCTTGGTGACCACCGCTCCCTGGGGCATCGTCTATACCAAGAACCTCAACTTCAGCCGGCATCTGAACAATACCAAGTGCCCCACAGACCTGGGCTTAACTTCAACCCACTCCAGTGTTCCATTCCTTCGGCTCCTTATCGTCATACCACAACGGCTCCCCCTCAACTCCCAGCACCTAAATCAGTCGATTCGCCCTTATATCAACCACTTATGAAAAAGGCCAGTCGTAAAGGTTCCCACCTCCACATCGCCAAAGTACTCCATAACAGCTTCGGCATCATTAACAAAGTCATCCTCAGCTGCATCAGAGTCCAATGACTTCGTCTGATTTCGCTCCTCTCGCATAGACGGCGAGCCCTAAGGCAGTGAGACACGACCATCTCGAATAGGTCCACAACTAGAGCCCACTGAGTTCGCCTACCTCCATAACCAGTTTCTCGAGGAAATTGACGATATTTTTACGCCCATGCCTCTTGGCCTCCTCATAGGGTGTGTTACCCCATCTATCGTACGTATTCAGCCGAGCCCCAGCGTCCATCAGCAACTTCATAGCACTCAAACAACCTGACCATGAACATCATGCCACTACTACTACCATGTGAACTCCCGAACACACCAGAAGCCGCAGCCAAATGCACAGCGGTTCTACTGTCGTAATCGGCAACATTCGGATCCACCCCCAGCTGAAGAAGGTATTGGACCTGAGACATTTACGGTATGGCAAGCACCTGAGCCCACAGGAGGTTTACCGTATAAACGTCCTTATTAGCGCAGGCCATAATAAGCTGATTAGTAAGCTCATGCTTGACGGAACCATAATAGAGTGTTGGGTCCACATGACGATCACTAGCTCGCAATACGGGGTCGTGGCGCTTGAACAAGTGGAAGTTGAAGGTCTCCTCCATGTGATAGAAGAAATCCAGACCTTTACGACTCAACTACAAACAAACAAATATGGTGCGATCTACTACAACTACAGTGAAATTCCACCCGTAATACTCCATGTGAAAAACGTGATATTCGCGGTGATATGAAGTGCAATTACACCAGACAAATCACCCTATTCCACGTAAAACACATCACGTATTTAACGCGTTTTTCACATGCGGTTTTTTTTGCAAAGTGGAATGTAAAATGTGTTTACCATGTCACAACTAAAACTCCAGTGTTAAAAACTTACTCGAATACATCTCAGAAAGTCGAGTCCCAACTTACCGAATAAGACTCTTCGGAAGTACCATAATTTCTGATAGTCTTCTCTGCCGACTCCTCCCCGAACTCCGAGCTCGGGCAGTGCACACATATGCCGAGTACGCCCGGTACTACTGCCATGCCGGCGCCCAGGTTGGAGTTCTTACCCGGTATACCGAGGTTGTAGGCCCACATACCCGACCTAAAAATAGTTGCCTCATTCGTGACCATCAGCAGGGAATCATCCAGAAACCTATAATGTTCCTAGGGGTACTCATTTTGAATTTCCCACACATTCTTCAATCAGTTTCCCATGTGAATGTCATGGAATTGTTATCAAACCCTGGAGAGCGTTATCTCTCAAAACCTGCTACCTCTGGTCCATGCCACAGGAGTACATAAGGCTGAGTGCATACCGGATTGTCTGATCCTTGAAAACCCTCTCGTTGGTCTTCGGACACACTCCACTGTTGGCAAAGGAGGCCGCCACTGCTGCAACACCAGCGACATTGACCTAAAAATGCACCATCCCGGGATCGAACCCGGGACCTACCACTATCATACCTCTCGCTCGTGCGTCTCAAACATCAATTGAATCGCGTCGTCAATATCCGCCCCATTTGGAAAGCGATGAATAGACCGCAAGCGATAAGCCATACTCCGTGCCAAGTCCGAGTGCCTGGCGTCGAGTCATACAGCTTTGTAAAAAGCGCGCGCCCGAATATTCTAAACTGCTAAACGACTTACCTTCTGTCAAGTTTTTTCCCAAGCTCAGCAGCTTCCGGTGGGACCGTGTCTGAACCACTCAACTTCCTCCAGTTCTCGAGGACCCTTTCCAACGAGGGTCTCATGCCAGTTCCACTACTGAGACAAACAAGGCATCATCACAGTGTAGATTATCCTCGCGTATTTTCCTATCGATCGCTATGCTGGTCAACAAATATACCTCACACGACTTAGGAAAAATCCGGTTATTTATATGCATACCAAAACACCACCACTCACGACACACAGACAGCATATCACGCTGCATCAATGGCTCCTAGAATCGTCCCACAACCCGACCGCAGTATGTTCGAATTTCATAGTAAGAAAAGAAAAAGTGTTGTAACCTCGATGAGTAGGAACTACGGAGATTTACAATATTACAACATCGAAATATACGAAAATCTTTAATATGTATTATCATAATCGATCAATGTCCAGAAGAAAACCTTACTATTCCTTATCCAACCCCCTAGACAGCAACGCACACAGATTTATCGTCCCCATCATCACAAAGGGGTTATGTGGCCTGAGAACACCACCAACTCCATCATAGACATACTAACAAGAGCAAATACCTATTCAAATGGTCAAGGCCTAAATACGTTTGCTTCTCGCCACTGGGCTCTCTTCCCATCCACTTATGAACTTCCTCCAAGCCCAGCATTTCCACCGCCATACAGTAGAGAATCGGCCGTATAAGTCCACCCGTTGGAAAGCATTTAAGACACTCCTCGGGGGTCCATACCGGTGAGTACTCAGATGCACAACTAGCTGCTGAGGGTGACCCTACGAGGAATCGAACTAGGATGGTTCGAATAGCAACAGTGTTATTCACCTGGCAAGGCGCTCTCATCCCGAGCATACTGCTGACTGTCAGTCGTACACACACCGACTGTGATGATCTCTTGATGAGGGTGATCCTCACAACAAGCAGAGAAGCATTCGTTCTGACACGAGATGCCGTAGCCGAGGATAGAACCGGGGACCTTTCGATTACCCACTTACCAGTCTCTGTGTAAACTTGGGCCAATTCGGGACGATCAACTTGCCACAAAGAGCCTTCACAGCGATATCATGCTTCTTCGCAATTCTCGAGAATTCATCAGCCGAGTATCTACCACCCATAATTTCGTGGCGCGCGGTCAAATTCCCTCTCTTCCTACAGTGCCTCAGCCTCGCCAGTCAGATTCATATCCTCAGGAACTGATAAGCACCCAGGCACCGACAAACTGTCGGGCATCCCACCGACTCTAACACTACCATACCACCCCAAATCCTAAATCAGAGATAGACCATTAAACACCTAAAAATACGGTTAAATACAAAAACTCACTTTTAGTAGAGCCTGAACCCTCGGAGAATCTCTCGGGAGACCATACCACTCCAATGCTCGAATCAGGCGCCGTGAATCTAGTGGCCAGGGCATATCAGCGAAGTACCTCAACAACAGCACAGAATAGCACTTCCAATAATATTTTTTTTCAGTCTTCATACCGTGCCAGGACGATATCGCCATCTTCACCAGGCAACATAGGAGGACAACTGGCCCGAAGAGCGATGTCGCGTTTCAGCTCCCGCACACAGCGATCCTCCGACTCTCTTTGAGCGTCCTAAACCAGTGTAGTGGAAAAGAAAACATGCACATGTTTCGGGGAGATTTTGGAAAATTCTTGTTGATTTTCAAACACTACCTAAATATGTATTCGGACTCCTACAATTAGTGAGGAAACATACAGTGTGTTCGATTTTGATAGTCCCTAACGAGAAAATGTTGTGACTTCACCAATTCGATGATTAGCAATCTGAAACCCCCAGTATTACGAGGTCTATAAGTGGGCAATATACTAATATGAATAATTATTATCAATCACGAAGAGTTAGGGCGAGCCACGCATATTAGTTTCGGAGAAAAAATCAAAATCGAACACACTGTATATTCCAACACTTTCCTAAACCGTTGAAGTGCTTATCAGTAAACGCCTGCTACCATGATAGATGTGTTGTTATAGCGGTCGCGAAACTCCGGGTCCGCACCCAAGAACATCAACAGTTTCACAGTTTCTCGATGATGATTACACACAGCCAAATGCAGAGCAGTACGCAGATCGTAGTCTGCCGTACGAACGTCAATTCCTCTGAAAAAAATGCCGTATAAAAAAACACACCAGAAACGAACCCACTCACCTAGCCGCTAAATGACGGATCCTAATAGCATCACCAACAGCAGCACTCCACCACAAACTAGAATATTCTGTTAAAGTAAAGTTGGTCAGTACATCGACTGAGCATGATATCGTCAATATTCCTCATATGCACACCAATACTCACTCTGGGCACTGGTACGCCATCTGAAAGTATCTCCTAAACAATTACGTATCCTATGCTCCACTAAAGGGTGATTCGGCGGAGTCTGTGCCTAACAGAAGAATACCACATATTACACATAATCGATCATCTGGGCGAGCGCTACTACCTCATCCGTGACGGATTCTTGAGGACCGCCGAAAGCGTGCACCGGAAGTCGTTTAGACAACATTTGACAGAACTTCACTCCTCGCACAGAATTTCCCAAGGCATCCAGCCGCGGTGAAAACGTGGCGATTCCACAAACCCCTGGTATGACAATACATAGAACGCCAGAGACCTGAAATGAATAATTTTTGACCGAGCTGAATAGACTACTAATATTACCCCTGATTTTGCAGGGAAACCACATGTGAATGCAAACTCGCCAGAGTAGTCGTACATACCACAACTCATCATCATGGACAAACAAGACGATACCGTGTCCTGACTGAACACACGCTCGCCTAAAAAAATGCAGTGGCCAGGGATAGAACTCGGGACCAACAACAACTGCTACCCGTCTTGGGACAAATACCACCGTTTGCAAGGGTAGCAGCAACAACAGACATCTCCTCACAGTCTAGTTCAAGTGAGCACCTTAAAAACAGCCCTACTACCACAACACTTCAACGTGTCTACCTACCATTGAAAGTAGGACTCAAGAGTCTTCTGAATATCTGTGTTTGGTGGGAAGGCGTTCTCTTCAGCCATCATATACGCCAAACAGTAATTCCGATTCGCCGTCGCTCGCTCCCCCATAAACGTATCATACCTAATAACAAGCTCCAAACGATGACAGGGTGCAGCCAGGAAGACTCACTCTCCGGAATTTCGTGGCGCGTGACGATTCGCGAATCACAAGTAATGGACATGTGAGTAATTCTGATATCCGAATTTTTCGCTCCAACAATTTTTCAAACAAAAAACTCTGTACGAGTTTTTGTGCAACTTTTTCTTGTTTTTTTGCAACTTTTTCTTGTTTTTTTTGCAACTTTTTCTTGTTTTTTTGCAACTTTTCCTTGTTTTTTTGCAACTTTTTCTTGTTTTTTTGTAACTATATACAGACAATGCATATCGAAACTATATATAAAGTGCCTCAGGAAAGATGAATTTTCAATCAATACTAATACGACATACTCCACTTACTGTATATGAGGCCTCCTAGACATCCCAGCTAGATGCTGCCACGTCTCAGTTACCGCTTCATACCGCTCCCATTCCGACTTGTCCATATACAATAGCGATGATACCATGATTGCACCTAGCATCGAAAATACACTACCACTCTTGCTGCTACTCACACTACGAGTAGTTATTCTTGCAAGGAGCCACTACAATTTCTGACGTTCACTCTCATCTCAACAACACTTTCATCGCATATAGGAAATTTAAGATTAATCATCATTTTTTTCGAGAAAAAACGCTCACTTTCACCCCTGCATATCACATTCCCGATCGGCTGAATACAGTAAGCGCCATCTAGACACCGAAATTACGTGTGCAAAGGTAATTTTTTCTACAGAGCGACTTTGAGGCTGAAATTTCAAATGTGACGCCCCCTAATACAGATATATTTCACGGAATTTGTCCGTAATCGATTTTCGAAGAAAAATTTCATGCCACTTTTTTACACGCGTCCGACCACGGTATTGAACCTGCGCGGGTAAAATACAGTCGACCTACCAGCATTGATAAGTGGATTGTGAGGTATGCCTTTCGGCTGTAGCAAGACCCTCTCATTAAAGTTCCTCCCACTAGGCTCATGCCCAACGTGCTCATGTACCTGATGATGACGTACCACAATCTCTTATCTTACATACAACATCGTCAAGTAAAAAATTCCGAATTTGTGGAATATTCACCCACTGTGAAAACAGCAATCTCTCACACTCCCTGTCAGGTCACGTAGATCCTCATAAAATACTCGAATGAGCCATAAAATCTCTAATATAATCGATATCAGAATTCTCCCCTGCCACCTTCTCCTTGCCATGTAATTCCACCGCCATACAGTAGTTAAGAGGCTTGCAAGTTGACTGTAGACAAAATGGAACCTGTAAATTCGAAAAAAAATACATACCACTCCTCTCCCACATCACATCTCCCTCCTACCTTACTATCACCTATCGAGTAGCGCTGTGCATGTACACTACAAACACTGATCGCCCAGTAGTCCGGATTAACTGTAGCCAGTGTTGGTATATAGTCGGCCTGAGCGATCCACCACCATCAATACGTCCTAGATTCCGTCACGCGCCACGAAATTCCTCCCATAAACACTACATTTTCGCCCTCAGTACAGTCCTCCAAATCTTTATAAGCATCGTTAATAACGTCACAGAAGGCTTCAAAATCGGAGATAGCCAGCTCTCCTCGAAACGCCTTCCCTACCTGACCATCATACCGTCACTGCGCCACAAAATTATCCACAAAAATGCTCACTAGTTCATTGCTAGTCTTCAGTGTTTGGAACCTCTCAAAGTCAACAAAGTCCTGACTCTTGAGCTCCTTGTACGTATTCCTCATGCGACCATCAGAGGTAGCTGAGGAAAGCACTCATTTATATGTTCTATCTCGTTACACAGCAAAAACATAACAATGCATACAATTCAGTTCAGCTAGTCTTAGTCATTTATTACTGTTGTCACCATCTTTCATAACTTTTCTAACTTCCCATACCAATTTTTCGAGAATTTTTCTCAATTCTCACCTGTTTTCTCACATAGCAGGTTTACACGCTCGTGAATTATCGACAATTTTCGAGACGAGACGGCTTCAGAGGAAAGCCCTCTATTCGTTTGTCTCTATCAATTCCCCAGAGCCATCTTTGTTGTTTATAGTCCCTACCACATGCTTTCTAATGAGGAGCATTGAACTTCATCCTGCAGTTACTAAACTTCAGTTCCAACTCTCTGCCACGACGAGCATTCAAATACGGGCCCAAAGCCTTATAGGAACGCGTTAATAGTTCGTTATTCCCACATGGCTAACTTCCAGGTAAATTATTCACTATTTCGGAATATATCACCCACTTAAACATGCCCTTACCTAGTCCCGATTTTTTTAGGAACTCCAGTAACTTTACACTGTCTACTTTGCCATCTTCATCGGGCTGATGATAACACAACATCGTCCGACCATATACTCTCACCGACTACTACCTCTAATGCTTTGAATATTTCCTTAGAATCGATCTTTCCTCGCCCCATGTTGGACACAAGTCTAGCTCTGGCTAAAGGGGTACTGAAAACAAGGTTAGAGAAATATATGATCACTAACTACCGAGCTCATATATGAACTCGGGTAAGAATTTCCCAAAATTTTCTCAGATTTCTCGTATAGTCACCAACACAAGTAGTTGACCATATGCATATTTTCCCCCAACACTAACTGAAACTGTCACCATAACAGCGAACACTAGAGGAACCCGCCTAGAAAGTGAGCCAATATAAACTCACTTGGTATGATCATTTTCCTGCTCACTAGAGTCTTCACTAAAACTCGCATGTCTGTGTGCTCTCCCACCCCGATCAGATCTGCATCGTGATGAGGCTTGTGAGGATGCGGATGGTGACACCACGACGTCCATCTCTCCACGCTGTGGCTTTTCAAGAGGCCTAACCCAAACTCAGTGATACTAATTGCCCTCTGTCAATATAGGAATCCCCTTATGTTATTCAATGGCGTGCTCCTCTATGATCGTACAATTATTCAATACCACCTCGGAGAAAAAATAAATAAAAAATGAAAAAATAAGGAAAAAATAGATTAAAAAATAAAAAAATTAAGAAAAAATATGGAAAAATAAGGAAAAAATAGAACGAAAAAAAATTAAGAAAAGATATGAAAAAATATGGAAAAAATAAGGAAAAAATATAATAAAGAATAAAAAAATAAAGAAAAAAGGCGATTTCGATTCGAAACTAAGTCTTCGAAACTTTCGAAGACTTGCGACCGGAAATACGTCAAATCCTGTTTAAAACCCTCTAGAGTTGACAAGGGAAAAACCGACAACAACGACAACAATAACAACAACTAGATGGTTTTCGCTCCCACAAGAGCTAACTCAAAAGAGACAAATAATTTCCCACTGTAAATTTTCTCGCGCCGAGCCAGCGAACAATGTTGCAATATATGTTTACTCTCCTCAGCTGAGCTCAGTAGTTCATATGCGACCTAGTGTACAGAAACCACCAAGAATTTCCTCAGAATTTTCATATTGTCACCAACACATGCAAATGCATACTAGAAAGCATATAGTATTACCGTGAAGTAATATATCGCTTTTCATTATCTAGTTCGATCGTCATATTAGGACCACTATTATCTGAGATCAACAGTCTGAGCATTGTTTTCAGTCTAGCATTTCAACACGTCTTTTCCCGCAGGACACTACTTGTGTTGGATGTCCGTATGGTCTCCTTAATGACCATCAAAACACCGGCGAAAACAGAGAACTGATAACACGGACGATTTTATCCATTTTCGTCGGTTCCCATCACTTCACTTGAGATGCATAGATAACTCAAAACAGTAGTTTCGTAAACTTTTTCAATCAACTTGGTGAATTTCCTCAAAAAAAAGAAAATTCTGTGCATCTGTATTTTCCCATATCTTCCCCGCAAAGTCATGATGCCATAACAACCGTCAGTCGATTCACCACCATCGAGACCTTCTGCAACCATCACTCACTCATACGTTCTCAGCAACTCAGGTTTCACATGTGAAAATTCATCATCGCCTGGGCGCGCGCTAAATCAACAGCGCACTTTCACAACTATTTTTAAACATCGAATTTGTGTATAACGACCAACCCGGCTCTCCCAGTGTCGTGTTATCGATGGCGCGAATTGTGACTGGTTATCGTCAATTTAAAGGGGTACGATCATACCGTTAAATGCTCAGTGAATTCACTGTTGCCCAACTTTATTGGAAGTTTTTATCAGAAAACTGTTGATAAATTTAATCATATCGAAATATGGTATTCGGGAAACAATAAAACAGCTCCTATATTACATTTAAGTTTCACCACCCGTTTTACGTGATGTGGCGTAATACTCAGTGAGTAACCCGAGTTCATGTTTTTCATATCACTAGGGTGAAACACCAATAAAATATCAACGATATTTCTCTTCCATAAAATTCAACTGAGGAACAGGTCGGCTGAAAAAAGGAGGTGTTTGTTACTGGTTCGCTCATTGAGACAACACTACACTGGATATAACCACACGAGAATGCCTAACAAGGCTACCTGTTCATAACTTACCCTTAGACGAATACTATCTTCATTATAAGCTCAGCTGCGGAAACCCTTCACCCTAGAGAGACATATTGTGTTCTACAGAGAATTGGAACAGCGATTATGACCGCTATTATGCAGACTCGTTAGCCGTGTTAGAAGGGTTGTCCAAATCATCGTACAACACAACCATATGAGAGAAATCAAACTTAATCTTGGTAGAGAGCAAAATGACGACGACCAAAGATATGAGGATACTATAGAAGCCTGATATTGGTCGCGCTTTACTCATTAAGTTGATACCATACTGGGTAGGAGAGGAATGCCTTTGAAGGGAAACTGATTATTCTCAATAGATGTGGACTATCCGAGCTAAGGCGTCCTTCACCCGAGAGAGAGACACATTGTGTGCTACGGAGTTCGCTTTCTGATCCGCACACATGAACGACAGTGTGATGAAATTTGCACATGGTCAACCACATGTGTTGATGACAAAATGAAAAAAACTTCGAGGAAATTTTGGAAAATTATTGTTACTTTCTGTACATTCATCGTATATATTCTCCCAATTTGTATATAAACTTCTATGATTAGTGAGCTCAGTGAACATTTTTTGCAGCACCTCGTAATCGATACCAATCAGTTCACAATTCATCTCCATGGTTCAAATTGCCAATGCCAGACGACCCCGTAGACCGGCTCGCATTACGACAACATACAGAAACGTCAAAGGGAGGGCCACTACGGACCACAAGAATTTCCTACTAGGTGCCATACTTTATAGCACTTCTATGCTGTGAACTCATCACACTGTATCAGGATTCGTTATTGTACTATTGCTAGTGTCAACGTTAACAACGTTGACTTTGCTGGACTCAATTCCCCAACGGCATGCATCTATCGATCAGTCTAGTGAAGTAAATACGCCTAGCGAGAACACCGCGAAAATGAAAGAGTTTCAGACGGTCGTAGAGTTGGAGAAATTTCAGATGAAGAATTTACGAGGACATACAAGCACACGGTGAGAACTCCATGGGGCTTTCGGGCGGATTTTATCGTTTAGTGAACTTGCTGATGACACTGTACGTGATACTAAGGAGGAACATCACAGTTTGCGAGCACCGGAACCCGAGCCCTCAAAAACTCCGGTACGGCTCTTCGTATTTCATACTGTTACTATTGTGGATGTTCAGGGGTCTGCGAGAAACAGTGATACCGTGGGAAATGATGTCGCAACGTGAGCTACTGATTTCACTAAGTCAAATTCACTATTAAGTTCCGCAGTAGGTCGGCTCGGGTGGTGATCACTGACACACCAACAAGTGTATTGTCGAGTCCAGCAGCACCTGAACGGTCCGTTGAAAAAGTATATAGTGGTTTCGTCTTGGGGTGCACATATGACTATCGCTGGGATTAGGTAGCGAGTGAAACGACTAAGGGAAAGTTCCCTGCTGAGTGGCTTGCCAACTTCACTGAGGAGGAGCTTGCTGATTCTGATGAAAAAAGCGTAAGTTCTTTCCCCCTACCAGTGTAGGAGAATATGCACAATGTGTTGGTGACAAAATGAAAATTCTGGGGAAATTTAGCGAGATTTTTTATTGATTTTTGTATACTTCTACCTCCGAATTTGTATGTAAACTTCGATAACTAAAGAGAAACTCTTGAACTCAGCTGAGGAAAGCGAACATATATTCCAACATTGGAGTTTCACCTGTTCTACGTGAAGTGGCGTAAAACTCGGAGAAAAACCCGATATTCGCGCTATGCAGTAGTCGTGAAATATGTTTTTCACTAGTGTTTTTCATATCACTAGGGTAAAACTCCATTGCACCAGTCATTGATAAGCTGAGGTTGGTTGTTAGGCCGTATGGGCTGAGGAAGTGAGGGAGGCCATGCGGCATGTGTGGAGGAACTATAAGCAGTACGCCTGGGGAAAGGACGAGATCGCTCCTTTAACGGGCCGTCCTGGGAGGTAACGCCACACGGGAAGTTTCCTTATTGTTATACTCGTTATTGGTATAGCTTTGAGAAATAATGTCTTCCAGTGTGGGAATACATGTTTTCTTTTCTCAACTGAGCTCGTGAGTTTTCTCAAATCCATACGAAATCAACGATAATTTCTCAAAATTTCCTCGAAATTTCCAAATTCCTGGCAACACATGTAGTTGACCATGCTCATGTATTCCGACAAACATTGTTTTCTCTAGAGTTTAATAAAAATCGGAAAAAATATTTCTAGTGTGACGACACTGAATGAAGAATGTGTTCCTAGCCATGTGAAAAATCCAGAATGAGTTTCCTGGATGATTCCCTTGTAGGCAATGGTGTGATGCTGCGGTGATGATGATAGACTCTTTATCCACTCTGAAGGTCATGGGGTTGGAGAAAGAGTTCGACGAGGCTACACAGTGGATAACGTAGGGAAGTGCCTTGGTGTTTTGGGAGGCTCTTTGGGCTCAGGGACAACCTCAAATTTGACCGCCCGCGCGGCTTGCATTCCTTCTTTGAAATCACAATTCGTGTGCTCGGTGGTCTCCTCTCTGCACATAGTCTCAGCGGCCGACAGATCTTCCTCGATAAGGCCAGAGAAGTGGCAGACCATATGATGACAGTAAGCTCGGTACGGCCCTTTCCATCCTGTAGATCTGCATAGGGCTTCACGGACTACCCAGGCTGCCCCCGAGCACAGATCGATCTGGGAACTGGACGTGCCTCGGGAAACGGCTGGATGTCGGGTTTCATACTGGCCGAGGTGATAGACGCCATATTTATTGAATCAATTCTAGCATCGTATTATACGTCTAAGGAGCGATTCTGAGTTTCGAAAAATCAGTTTAATCAATGACTCCAGAGTGTGTTGACTCCTGTTAGGTCGGAACACTACAACTCGAATTTCGTTATCTTTCGGAGCACACAGGAGATCATAAGTACGCCGAGGCTGTGGACAAATGCCAGGAGTCCATTTTCCAAGCTGCAGGGAAGCAGGGTCTGGTCCCGTATGAACTCGCCAGCGATAGGCCAATGTTCACCGGTGAGTGTTTGCATTAGTCTCGAGACTCTCAGCGGTGGTAGGTGGAGTGATATCGTTCGGGGCGATGGGGGACTCATATTTCGAGTATTTGTTGAAAGTGTGGCTTCAAAGTGGAAAAAGGGAGAAGAAGTATTACTGAGTGTTGCTGCTGCTGCTGATGTTCGAGTGTGTTGGTGTTTGTAGGCATCTTGATTTTTGGACTAAGGCGATGACTGAGATAGAACGGATGATCTTCCGAACAGCTGGGGGGCTCACGTTTATCGGGGAGCTCAGGGGTGGCATGTAAGTTACTGCAATGTTTCCAGTGTGAACCAGATCGGTACAAACCGGATGATTTTTCAATTTTGAGAGTTACTCGTAGAAATAATAAGCTGATACTATCAGTAAATCGACGACGACATTATACCCGCGTTTATACTTTCTATTAGTGTTACTTAGAGTCACTCCTCGGAATATCAGTTTGCATAACAGTTCGATTCGCATAGTAGTAGTAGTAGTAGTAGTAGTAGTAGTAGTAGTAGTAGTATTAGTATTAGTAGTAGCCACATGGTACAGGCCTAACTACCGCATGGAGCACCTCACGTGCTTCGTCCCCGGCAACCTCATGCTTGGTGCACGCACTCTACCACGGGACCGTGTCGATCCACGTTGGGAGAAGTGGGCCCATGACATAACCGAGACCTGTCATCAAATGTAGTCCTGAGGTTTGGCGCTATAGGAATTGTTGGTCATCAACTCAGGTACGCACGCTCCAAGACTGGGCTCGGACCGGAAGTTGCGGAGTTCAGACTGAATGCTCCCAAGGGAGATGACATGTGACATTATAGACTTGTGTTCTCTAGTAAGCTCTTTTATAAAGGTACTATAATCCTCGAGATGCCCACTACATATTGAGACCAGAAACCATAGAGAGTATCTTCTATATGCATTATTTTACTGGTAGGGAAAGCAGCAGTCCGGTAAGTTCAATGCATTTTTCAGGTGATCCTAAGTATAGGGTCTGGGCTCACGATATGATGACTGCACTCAATAAGCACGCGAAGGCCCAGTATGGCTATTCTGCGGTGAGCCATTGGGACCATCTTCCTGTGCCTAGTGTTATCAGGTTTTTGATATCAACCAAGTGCCAGCACGACAGAAGAATGAACAGGAATCCTTCTTTACCGCGGAGACGTTGAAGTACCTCTACTTAACGTTAGCTCCACGGCATGCCCTCAATTTGGATGAGTATGTTCTGAATACAGAAGCCCATCCACTTAAAATTGCCAACCACTGATGTTCACTTCACTGCATCGACTTGGTATTGTGTTATTCGAAAGTTCAAAATCAACTTCCTGTGACCATGTGATCGACGAATTTTCTATGGCCTTTCACATTCACTGATTTGGATACGTTGTCGCAATATATTTTCCCATTTTTCAACGAAGATCTTTAACATTTCTTCGTGATGACAAAATACATCTTCGCGTAACAGGTGCGAACTTTTCTTCGTACACATGTTCGTAATTGCCCATGTCGTTGTAATAGTTTTTGTATTGATGATATTTACGAATTTCCGCATCCCTTCAGCAATAGGAACTCAACACGTATAAAATTCTGGATAATCGATACAGTGGGTTGTTGTGAATGCGAATGATAACTCTTTGCATAAACACGTCCTGAGATCAGTCGTAGTAGTACCTGCAACAATAAAAGGGTAATCAACATCTACCAAGTACTGCTCACATTCGGGCGAAATCGACTGTGTGAATGGCGCGGTGAATTGATCGTCCAAAGCACATAGGGATGACGAAACACATGGCAACTGTGAAGAACTGCGCGTTGGTGTACAACTGACCAGAGAGGAAACATACAATGATAAACGACCGTGAAGGGACATACACAGAACGGCCACTTGAGGGAGACTCCAGGCATGTAACCGTTAGTGATGAAATAGCTCAACAATAGCACCACGCTGCCACCAGTCAAGAGGAGTAACTGAAGTGGTATAATAGCAGTAGTGAAGGAACGGGGGAAAGCGCGTACTCCGATGAAAGCAGACCTCGGGAGTAAGTCCACTTGGGCGGCTGCAATACAGAAGAGGAGACAAGCAACAGAAGCACATAGAAAGGATAGTTGCGAGAAAAATGTATGCAGCTCGGTCCAGTAGTTCACTGGTACAGCCGCAACACCCAGGAGGCAAACGGAGCTGATAAGGCCCAACCACAGAGCCACTCGTATCTAAAAGAAGTCGTCAAAGTTGCATAAAAGTGAACACCTCACTGTGAGCTTGCTGAGAGAACGAGGTGACCGCTGAGACAGGTAGACCGCTATGAATCCCCACACAGGAGCGATTCCAAGAGCAGCAATAACCATGCCTATCCGAAATACCTAGAAAAAAAGAGAAATTAACGGTATCAGTGGAATCAATTGTAAAGGTACTCTCGAGTGACCTCCAAACGCTGCCATTGTCTCACAGCCTCTGATATCAGAAAATACCAAGGCGCCTGTCAAAGTTGCCAAGCCGACTACACATGCAGTGTAAAGAATTACTATCTCTATCATGTTAAACCTGAACAGAATGCGTACCATATAGTTGACACTGCTCCCTGATACCTTATATCAGCCAGACTCCGCTGTTTTCGACAAGGAGTCAACAGTTGAAATATTGCGGTGATCACTGAAGGACCGAGAAAGTGACATGAGAACACCGTAAACACACCTACTGCTCCTGGGGGCGTTAGGATGATTATTGGCCCTCTTGAAAGGGTCCACACTATCTAAACAAGACCATGAGGAAAATAACACTCCCAATGGCAACTCAGTTTACATCCAGGGAGTTCGTCGAGCTCAGCGCCACCGTCAAAGTCACTGAACGTTACCGAGGCAGGGGAAAGGTCATCATCTACTGCTTTGTTTCGCCAGGAGGGATCTATATCGTCTGAAGCGGTACAGTGAGCATTCACCACTACTACCAGCTTCCTTTACCTGAAGGCAAGCTCGGTCTAGCATAATCATTGGTCTTGGCAGACTGGGAAGAGGTTTCCATAGATACTGATTAAACACCACTGCTATCTCACACATCTCCCAAACGCTGGGACACAGAAATCAATGCATGTTCACTCAGCAACAGCTGTTATGATCAAAAAGACTTCTGTTATGAGCGGAGCAAGCAGGACTGATTGACCATAAACCCGCACTAACGGTGTCGGGTGGGCCTACACTACAAAGTAACGAGATTTCGAATATCTAGCACAAGTTCAACCCAATCCTGGTCTTCAAGGCGGACAACATCAGTCTGTCGTAGAGTAGATTGAACCCCCGCCCATGAGTGAACCTAACAGCTCTTGAGGCCGCTGGTACTGTCTAGTAGCAGTGGCATATATAACAGTGAATCCACCAGGAAGACGGCGACTCGAAGACGGTCTCGGCAAGGCCTGAGTTTGCGTGCACAACACCTTCCCTCGTTCACTAGTTCTCTGACAACATCAGATAGCCGTACTTAGCATTTAAATTCAATCCTCAATGACTTTCACCGCAGAAAACAGTAGGACACTGAAGTGATACTAGATATTCCATAACCTCCATGTGGGCCCTTCTCACAAGCCTTACTATAACAGCGAAAATCTAAACACTGCCCCCCTCTAAAACGCAACTTGCCCAGTGTGTTGTGAAAAAAAGGGTCGGCAGGCGCGTTTTACTGTATATATCTTGTGACTCTGTACTCGACTGCCCTCGTGGACGTGAGGAGCTCCACGAGGATGATTATGATCAGGGCAAAAACAACAACAACACTATACAAAATCGATCCAAGACTAAGTGCTCTCAGGTAGAAGGAATAGTAGAGAAAACGCCTACACGCTATAGTTTAAGCTTGGACTTATGATTAGGGTCGACTTTGGGTGCCCTCAAGGGCAATTTGTGGGGCGTGAACTCGACGAGGTGCCAGCCGTCTAGGGTCACCAACTTCAGCCAGCTCTTCCGTGGTGAATTTGAAGAGATCCTTTGGTAGTCCGCCAGCCTCCTCGATCTCCTTACCAAGATCCTTATGTGATCTCAGTTGATCGAAATATTCCAATGACAACGCCAAAATAGGAGACATCCGCGTTTCTGGTTCGAATCTTAGTAATGCCCGTAGGAGAGCCTCAAAGCCCCGGTCTGCCTGTGGGTGTCCTCGCAAGACAACGCCCAACCCCTTCGGTTTGATGCAAGGGAATGCATTGGGATTGAAATCCTTGTATTTCGGATTCATAGCTGCAACCTGGATCAATAATGATACCACACCAATGTGAACTTCCTGAGGACCTACCTGTTCCGCCGTGGGAGTGCCAAGGACTTTGATTATCTCCACCAACTGGTCGACCCCGGTTTCCCCTGAGAAAATAGGGTACCCAAGACACATCTCCGCAATAACACAGCCCGTCGACCATATATCAACCTGAAGGGTAATAACGTGGCGTGCGGTTATCACTACTAATACTAATACCACTACTACTACTATTACTACTACTACTACTACCACTATTCCTACAACTACTTCTACTACTACCAATACTACTACTACTACTACTACTACTACTACTACTACTACTACTACTACTACTACTACTACTACTACTACTACTACTACTACTACTACCACTACTTCTACTACTACTACTACTACTACTACTACTACTACTACTACTACTACTGCTACTACTACTACTACTACTACTACTACTACTACTACTACCACTACTACTTTGGACGTATATCCCGTTGAGCCGAAAATAAGCTCAGGCGCTCTGTAAAACCGACTGCAGATATATGCCACATTGTCCTCTCCCATAGAGAGCTTCTTCGCCGATCCAAAATCGCATAATTTTATGGTGTGTGTGCGCGGATCGACTAGAATATTCTGCGGCTTTATATCGCGATGAGCATATCCTTTAGCATTAACATATCCCACAGCCCGCAGTACTTGATACGAATACAGTTTGATCAACTGTGAAGGCATACAAGTCTTCACTTTAGTATAATACCTGCGAGTCAGTGTTTAACACAGTCGTACTTAGGGACTCTCACTTCATCACTTGGTACAGATTGTCGGGGACATATTCCGTAACAAGATTCAAATATCTGAGCGGCCGCAATAATAAGCAACGCCTTTTGCAACCTACAGATCATTCGGGCTTTCTCCAGCAGTGTGAAAAGCATGCTTGAACGCTACGACGTTGGGATGCTTGAGATCTTTCAAAGTTGGCAGTTCCCTGTTCTTGAACCTTTTATCTTGGAATCTGATTATTATGGTCATCACCGAGAGGTTACACGAGGTGTCCCTACACTTTTTTGATAGCGACGGTCTCCCCAGTCTCCTGTACTTTAGCCTCATAGACGACCCCGAAGGCCCCCGAGCCAATGATTCGTTGAGCCTGGTCAGCGTTCCGGTATTGACGATAGTAATACTACTACCTTGTACGTGGACCCTCCTCTTCCTGTAGTTGTTGTTGATCGCCGCTGATCCCGATTGTGTACAGGCATGTAATGGTAACTCACCAAAGCCCTATGAAGTGGGCCTCGCCGAAACTAACAACAGATCACAGAGGCCCATTTAGTGACAAACTGTACTCGGCTTGATAGTCACTAATCATGTATGTCGGAAGTAGTGACGATTGAAAACTCCCGAAGGTGCGCAACGGTTGGTGTAAATCTCGCTCGCCCTGCGCTGTATCCATTCGATGCCGTTTACCACGATGTCCGCTGATACTGTCTTAAAAGGTGGTTGTTGATGACGCCTAAGAAGGACGTCAGTAAGGTGCGTAAGGAGAGGAAGAAGACCTCCAAGAAGGACGCTGGGAAGCCCAAGGTCAAAAGGGCTCTCACACCGTAGGAATCGGAGCTGTTACATCGCGTTTATTTTCACTCAGGTACTTTATGTTCGCTCAGGAAAACAGAGAGAAAGTCAAACTAGAGTTTGGGTTTGAGAATAGACAGTTGGGAGATATTGCCAAAAAATTAGGTGAAAAATGGAAAAATGTAAGACCCAGTCAGTGTCACTATTTTGCACGCCCTTTTGATCAGCTCTCGGATGAGGAGAAAGCTCACTATGTGAAACTGAGCGAAGACGACAAGAAACGATACGAGAGAGAAAAAAAGGAACTCGAAGCCCGAGAGGAGTCTTCTTCGTAGCAAGATTTTATGAGCGAAAAAGTGGTCATCATTGTGTTGGTATTTTCTGAACTCAAATTTGATATCAAGTTGCTCTGTTGAGTAGAATGTATTCTTTTTACGGTACGAGTGTAATCGTGCCTTGCGTGTCTTTTCTGTCGAACTAGGGATTGAGTTTAGTAGTGGCGGTCTTCAACGACACCGATAGTTTCCTTTCTGACGTAGTCGTGATGAGAGTCGTCATCCAACGAGTCACTCAAGCTAGCGTTACCGTAGAGAACAACGTCGTTGGTAAGATCGGTAGAGGTTTGGTACTGTTAGTTGGCATCAAAGAAACCGACACCATGTAAGTGACACATTATGTGATGTACTAATGACGAGTATTCCTTAGGGAGGAGCTGGACTACTGCGTGCGGAAGTGCATGAAGGTCCGTCTATGGGATGACGATAAGGGAACTGCATGGAGGGCCTCAGTGACCGATAAGGACTATCAGCTTCTCGTTATATCACAGTTCACACTGTTTGGACTTCTGCGCAAGGTCAGCATACTCAATGGTAACGGCATTTTAAATGCCACTGGTAGGGTAACAAGCCCGACTACAGACTAGCGATGGGCCCCAACGATGCCGAGCCGATGTATGATGAGTTCGTCAGACGCTGTAGAGCTGAGTATGGTGACTCTAAGGGTGACACTGCTGTACAGACTGGCATCTTTGGTGCTAATATGGGTGAGTTCATGTCACTAGGTTGCTTGCATTGATGTTGAATTAGATGTTTCCTTGAACAACGACGGACCAGTCACACTGGTAGTCGATACTGACGAGTACATGCCCAAGGATCCGAAAAAGCAGAAGTAGACTGCAGCACTGTGCATAACGATAATCGCTACACTTGATACTGATGTTACTGCTGTTTCTCGCTACAATTTTCCTAAGTGGCTATTCCTATGACTTGCGTCTGCTCATGCTCAAAAGATCCATTCCATAGAGGAAAGAACGTTCACAGTGAATTGGCAGATTAACATTAGATATTCTCATTGAAGTTGGGTGGCGCTCTAAGTAGAAGATAACAACACGTTGGTAGGAGTGTAGAGTGTTACCGATATCATACTGCATGCGAATTGGAATAGTTAATGGTCAAAACGATCGGAAAAATAATACTGGCTTTATACACCCTTGATCCACCAAGGCTGCCACATACTCAGCCTATAGCTAGAAAAAAGCCATTCAAAGACGCGTGTCTCACTTCCCCACAATTCTCGTGTGAAAAACACCAAGTGATTGGAAATGGTAACTTCAAACGACCAGAGATGTCAGCCGAAGGCCCAACGATCGAATTCGGAGATGCTCAGTTCGTTCAATCTGACTCCCCTATAGTGACTGCTAAACTCAACAACAGCAACTGCATCAACGACCATAAGCATCTCATGATGAACAGCTGTCCTCAAGCAGCTGTGAATGCGGAGAATCTCTCAGAGCGAGGTGTCAATAGATAGTGTTCAGCATGGTGGTGTTCAGGGAAAGTAGACGGCTCCATCTGGAAAAAAGGAGTCAAATTACTTTCCAACTAGACTGACATTCACGACTTCTTTGTTAATCGGTGACTCCTATACGGGTGACTTCACAAAAACTATTCGATACCACTCCTTTTCCAATTCTCGATATTCACAGTGACAGCCTACCCTTCTTAAACAATCATCCACAACTTTCGAAGTGGGCCCGTTGTAATCCTCGGCGATCAAGCCTGTTGGCCTTGAGCTCATCCAGCACACATCACTCATAGTCTCAAGAGGCCGCTCATCATTGTCCACGACCGACACCAGCAATGGTGGGGTAGAGACGAAGCAGGCTGAACATAGAGAACACTACTGGCAATGCGCCCAACGAGGGAGGGGGCCTGCCTTCATTCGGAGCTATGATGGCTTTAGTCCGTCTGTCTTGGTCGTGTACTCTATCGTAGGCAAAGTAAGCACCAATGGCAGCAAGGGAGATGAACCAAATATTAGAGCACTGACAAGCCGTATGGATCTCAATCCGTCCAAGATACTTTCACTCACCCATGCAACTATTGACTTCAGCGTTTCCCCTGGATCAGATGCCGACGATCTTGGCGCGGAATCTGAGACCAGTTACAGGTCGACCGGGCTAGCACTAGTGGATATTCACTTTGTTGTCTCTGCACCAGAGAGGCGGTCCCCACAGGTGGTGCTGTTGTAGTAGTAGTATCCATCATGAGCTCGTTGGCTGACAGAAACTTACCCTCCTCGACAAAACTGATACCTTCATGCTACCTGGCACTCTCCCCCTATCCCAGTCGCTGTGAGACGGCGCTGGACGGGCAACGTCTAATAATACAAATCATGTAAAGAATTGCCTCCAAACTGCCGTACTCAGAATGCTCATCGCTAGAGGCAACTCAACCACTGCTTCCTCGTCCTCACTATCATCATCATCATCTTCCTCCTCTTCAAAATCTGCCGATTCATCATGTCGTGGTTCGACTTCCATGAAATTAGCACCGATCTGGTATAGCAACACTTGACAAAGCTAAGGCTCAGTCGATTACGTTGTCGGAGATGCCCTCAGAGTCTATGATGCGCCTCAAGGCTGGACCCGGCAGCTTGAGGCCTATCGAAACCGATAAGCCTAGGACCAGGAGTACTGGTGATGGTAATAATAACATGATATGAATATTGGCTATAGAGGGCATTCATCTTCACCATTGGTCAACTACAGGCAGTTACGGTACTCAGTAAAGCATGCACACATGGAGTCAAATCAACGATACTACTTGCCTAAGGGCCTCTGCAAACTCGTCAGCTCTCTGAAGAGGACGATCAAGTGACGCCCTTTTCGAATTGGCCATTCCTACTTCATTATGAATGTAAGCCGAATAAGCCCTCTCGACTGCTGCCAGGCGAGAGGCATCTTCCTCCAGCTCCAACAGGAGCAACAACGATACTTGATCCGCGTTAGTGATAAGATCCTAATAGGGGATATTATCACCAGCATGCCATGGACCAGCCCAGTACATGGTCCAAAAGTCCTGATATGATACAGCGCAAGTGGGACTTCAACAGTGAGCGATGTAGTTCGTTAAACCTTCCCTCAGGCGTGATCTCGTTGCGCAAAGGACAGCGCTGATAATGCTCTCCCTCTACTGCACTTGAATCGCGTACTGGGATTTCCGATGGTGAGGATTCTGAATCGGGATGGTTTGTAAAACATCCGAGTCCTGGCAGGTTTACCATTCTCAGCTGGCGACCCGGGTTCGATCCCCGGGTCCACCTCTGGCCAGTCATTGGCCCTTTCCAGCTCTGCATAATTCGGCGTAGCGTCCCACGTGTGTGGATCAATAGGGAAGGCAGTAGCCCACCAAGGGAAGCCATCGGACTCTGGAGGCTCCACCCGTCTACTCCTCCTACTATGGGTCGGCCCCGATGCTGATCTGGTCCGAAGCCGACGCGAGTTGATAATGGCCGGTGCGGCAGACCTGAGCTTGGCACTGACAGTGCTGGAGTATGTGTTGGCTTTCCTCAGCTCGAGAGTTTCTTCACTAATTATGGCAGTTTACGTACGACTTCGGGTAGAAAAGTACAGAAATCAACGAGAATTCCGAAAATTTCCTCAGAATTTTCATGTTGCCACCACTGCGTGTAGGGAAGGTGACCTAACTCGGATAAAGACACTCTTACCTCGGCCGAAAGGAGGTCCTCGAGCCACTTCTACTTGGGGTCGATGCTGAAGGCAATAGAGACTACACGATGAATGCAACCCGCCCTTACCGTAAGGGCTGGTAGTTGCCCGGCTAGAGGGACGCTTTACTGGGCTACAGGATCGACAGTCATCGAAAAAGGTAGGACGATGCGTACTAAAGGGACCTTTGGAGAGCTCACTGTAAGGAAGGACTTACCGAAGTCCACTGGCAGCCTCAGTGATGGTAGGTTTGGCCTTCCGAGAGGAGGTCGCGAAGGACATGTACCCACGTCTGCAGCCAGGAGTATTGGTCGACATTGGTCCTACTCCTCTCTCGTACATAGCCATGGCCTAAGGACAGTATGATGTGGAAAAGGAATGGTAACGATTCTTTTACTTCAGCAAAGGTGTGTTCCTTCTGCACAGCCCCTCTCCTGCGTGGGGACGTTGACCTGTGGCCGAGACATGTGAGCCCAGTGGCTCCAGTGCAGCTAGGGCAGTAGTACGTGGCACCATCGCCACCATAGTAGTACAGAAGGCTGTCCATTCAAAGGGCGATCGATCGGCGATGCTGGAATGGATCTTGCGCGGAAGGCGGAGCGAAGCGCGTTTTGTTCTGCATTTTTCAAATCTGAGCAGGTGTAAGCTCAGAGTGGACATTTGGAAAGCATTTACCATCGTATAAGTGTTTCGTTACCAGTAGGAGGAGGGAAGACGTGTTTCGGATTAGTTTGTGCATCAACTCGACAGCTATCATCATGGGAAAAGCTGCCAAGGCAAAGAAAGCCGCTAAGTTGACCCCTGACCAAAGAAGGGCCGCTGAGATGGACGAGGATGCTTTCCCCAACGACTTCGTTATGGATGGGGCTGGGAACATGCTCAACCGAAGGGACGTTATACAGGCCCTTAGTGAACGTGTTGAGGTTATTGACGGCAAGGATGCTACTTTCGTAATACCATCCTTCCCCTTTTTCTAGGCAGAGTCATTGCTATGCTCAGGTGAGTAAAGTGAGGCCCACTGGAGGTACAAGGGTATTTGGGAAGAGCTCTGAATGTATCTTCACCAATATGGGCGACTTCCGGTCCACCCTGGGCTTTGGTTTTGTCCAGTGTCCTCAGACCACAGAAAGTGTCACACTTCGACTCAGACTGACGTCCCAGGTACAGCGCGGGTGTTGGTAGTGTTTATGCTTACCGTAACTGCAGATCATTACGCTGGTGTATGATCCCGATGAGGAAGAAGCCGCTACGGTCACTGATGAGGTATTGCCGACTAAGGAGGGCGAGCAGCCTCGAAAGCTCAAATTCAGAGAGTAAGGTTTGGATCACTTCCCACTACTATTATTGCTACTATGGTGGGCTCCCTAGGTACGCTTTCGATGATGTGGTCTCCTATACTGGCGACCCTAGCATCAGCCACGTTCGCCTCGTGAACTATGCTGATGTCCAAGTTCCCAAGCAAGAGGACATTCACGATGAGCTCCCCTACGTGGACGTCAGGCTGGGTAGTAGACCATTCCTGTCGACTTGGGTCGGTGATGGTATTGATAGGCACTGCGGGCCGACTCATCTTTGTCCGCCCTGATTTCACACATACTATGTGTACGAAGTTGTTGTTGTCGCAAATAAAAAAGCAAGCCACTGATACTGCCACGCTGGTGGCTGAGCAGGAGGCCAACGAGAAAAGGAGAGTAGAAAACATCAGAGCTGGGTAGGCCTTGGCCTGGCGATACCCTCAGAGGACCATTTCCTTATGCAGGTACGTCCCCCCGACCGGCCTAGAGGCCTATTCTATGTCCGTGCCAGAGGGAGGCATCAAATGCGATGATAATGCACTTACAGTAGAAGGCCTGAACATCTCCGCACCGCGGCAACAGTTGTTCGTGGACGCTAGTTTTAGGATAGTACAGGGCCACAGGTGAGGGCGGCGGAATTTCATCGAGGTGCGGTATGTATTTATTGTTGTCAGATATGGTCTGCTTGGCCCTAATGGTTATGGTAAGACCACGTTGTTGAGGCATATCCAGCACGGGGCCATTCCGGTGTCGGAATCATGGGATGTGTTCCTGGTGGAACAAGAGGCTCATGCCACGGACTCAAAGGTCATTGACGAGGTCCTTAGTGCTGATGCTACTACAGTGAAGTTGATGAAGGCGGAGGAGGATATAATGAAACAGTTGGACGAGGCGGCTGATGACGAGGCTAAGGCCGCTGATACTGAGAGCATCCTCAAACTGCAGGATCAGCTCGAGGAGATCATTAAAGACCTCTCTGCTCGGGAGGCTGATAAGCAGGAGGCTAAGGTTAGGAAGATCCTGGCTGGTCTTGGCTTCACCCCAGAGTAATAGCATTGAAGTCGTGGGTGTGTGCACTGTGTGGTCTTCAGAGACCAGGAGAAGCCAGTACGGCAGTTTTCGGGAGGTTGGCGTATGCGAGTATCACTAGCTAGGGCATTGTTCATGCAACCTAAGCTGCTGATGTTGGATGAACCTACCAACCATTTGGATCTTGATGCGGTCTTGTGGTGAGTTCCCTTGCGGTACTTGTGGCTAGTGTGCTTGGCTACATCACATGACTATGGGTGGAAGAATCAATGAAATTTTTTTCGGCAAATTCCTTCATCAACACGCGTGGTTGACTATGTGTGCATTTTCCCACGTTTAGGTTGGACCACTACTTGGCTGAAGAGTATCCCTTCACTGTCCTCGTCGTTAGCCACGATGCAGACTTCCTGGACAGCGTCTGTACTGATATCATCTCAGTGGAGAATAAGAAGTTGTTGCAGTAGGATGGATCTCAAATTCCCTCTTCTAGTAGGACTTGGAATCCTCTGTAGGTACCGTGGAGGCTACACTGACTTTCAAAGGATGCACGAACAGCAGTTTGCTAAGCAAACTAAGGAGTGGGATTTGCTCCAACGGCAGTTGAAGAACTGCAAGAGCAAGGCGGACCGCGAGGCTCTGTTGAAGAAGAAGGCTCATATCACCAAGCCGGTCGAATACAGGGTTAAGTTTAACCTCAAGGGCCAGGGGCAAGATGATCGTCTCGGAGGGCTGGGGCTTCGGGATGTGTCCTTCTCCTATTCTGGGAAGACACCGTTCATCCTGAACCATGTCGAATTCGGTGTTGATTGCACCTCGAGGATTGCAGTAGTTGGTGCTAACGGTTCGGGCAAGTCGACTTTCCTCAAACTTCTCACTTCTGAGCTGGAGCCTACTGAGGGCGAGATCATGGCCAACCACGGCCTTAGGGTGGAGCTCTTCTCCCAGCATTTTGAGGAAAAGTTGGACCTTGCGCTCACTCCAGTGGAGCAAATACTGCAAGTGGGACGAGGCCTCCCTGGTGCAGAAGCAGTGAAGACCCCCGAAAAGGCCCGTCAGATCTTGGGTCGTTACGGCCTGCCGTCTGAGTCACACGTGAAACATATTGGTAATCTGTCGGGTGGGCAGAAGGCTCGTGTAGCGTTCGCCCTCCTGGGCCTGCGAGCGCCTCATCTTCTCATTCTCGATGAGCCTACGAATCACTTGGATATCGAGACCGTGGAGGCTCTCATTGACAGTTTGGAGGAATACGTACGTGGGAAGGTTGTTGTTGGTGGTAGTGTTGGTACTGGTTGTTTTTCAGGATGGGGGCGTGGTCGTGGTTTCCCATGATGCTAGGCTGATCAAGAGCTTAGATTGCGAGATGTGGATTTGTTCTGATGGTACGGTATGGCGATTCGGCGGGAATTTCGACAAGTACCGAAATAGAGTATTAGCTGAGGTTGAGGCTCGCGAGAGGAGAGTTGAACAGCAGATGGAAGCGAATAGGAAGTCTAAGCTGGAGAGGCATGCGGCACGGTTGGGTCGGAAGAGGGCAGAAAGCGCTCATGTGGCCGCGGAGGCT